TAATATTTCGTAAAACTTACGATACCGTAACCCTACGTAAGATTTCGACCGTAATATTTCGTAAATCTTACGATACCATAACCCTACGTAAGATTTTGACCGTAATATTACGAAAAAATACGATCTGTAACCCTACGTAGGATTTCACCGTAATGTTTTGTAAATCTTACGAACTATCAAACTTACGTAGTTTTACAACGTAATACTCTGAAATATTACAAAAATCGTAAATCTACGGAATATTTTGCCGCATTTAAATTCCAGATGTGGGTAGAACGTCAAGTTGGACTAAATATGTTTCCCCAGAACCAAATCTAACCCCAAGTCAATTATTAGGGAGCTACTTTGGCTGATCTTGAAAAGTTAAATTCTAAAATAGCTTCTTTAGAAGCACAGTTAGCGGAATCAATGCAGATACATTCTAAACTTGCCCAACGTTTATCGCTACCAGAAAATGTAGTTAATTTGAATAATGCTTTAATCTTTAATAGTTATCTTAATCAAAAATTAGAAAAAAAATTAGGAGTAATCGAAATTAATTTAGCAAAACTCACCAAACTTATAAGAGAAAATACCAAATCAGCTCAGTATCGGTGTTCAGAATCCTCAGACTATAATAATAGAGGATTGGAAAAAAGATTAGAACAAATTGAAGCTCACTTAGCCAAATTTGCCAGAAAAGATACTAAAGGTGCCAAAATACCTCAGCGTTAACGCTTAGAGTCCTTAACTTTTGGAGGATTAGAAAAAAGATTAGGACAAATCGAAGCCTTATAATTTAAACTCGCTAAAGATTCCAAATCCAGAAGTGGTCGAGTTCATATGGCTACAGTAGATGAACAGTCTAATCCCATTTTTTCTGATGATGACACGTCTAAATCTGAGGGTAATGATAATGACTCTGATAATTCTTCAGCTGGTTCAGACTCCGAAAAATATGATATGCATGTGTACATAAATTATGGAAAAAAAAAGTAAACTACGCTGAGCAGAGTGGTCGTTCTAATAAGTCCTCAAGCTCTAAAACTAATAATGAATCCAAGCCTCATAAGGTAAAACAAGATAATAATTCACCATCTACCTGAAATATCTCATCAAATAAAGATAACCAAGGTACTAAGCGGGTTTCTTTAGAAGAAACTATCCGCAAAATCATTCAGATTGAATTTGAGAATTATCTTCCGTACATAATTCAGCAGGCTAAAAAGCTTGAGCCCATCACTCAAGATTTGGATGACGAGTTTATTGATAGTCCTATGGAGATAGATCTCGTCCAAAAAAAAGAACCTGCCACAGAAGTTGTCACTGTTAAATGTAAAATTAAGCATCTAGTGATTCTAGCGGATATAGTTGATCTGGGTGCTAATTTTCTGATCATGTCTAAAGATATATCTAAACAATCAAAGCTAGTAATTGATACAAAAGAAAAACATGATCTCAGAGGCATTGCTACTACCCCCACAGAGTCGCTTGGAATTGTTAGAAATG